TAAATAAATAAATAAATAAATAAATAAATGTAAGCAAAAGATGATGCAAAATCAACTAGAATTTAAACATGAATTTGGAGGAATAGAGTTTTTCTCCTTTCCCTCTTCTTCCTAGATAGCATATATAGAAAGCATTGAAAAATAGCAATGGCGTTTTCCAGATCAGATCAGAAGTCGCTCTAATCCAACAGAGTTTACTGTTGGAGGCAGTCAAATGCCCTCAGACTCTCACAAGAAGGGTTCAGTGGAGAAAGATGATATGCGCTCCCAGCATCTGGCAATAAAAAACAAACAACCTATGAACGTCACTGTTCCATTCTCAGCTGTCATGGCTGACTAACGTTCTCTGTGGAATGAACACCTAAACAACAGTTATTAAAATAACAGTAACAACAACAGTGGCAATGAATTCTGCATTTAGACTATGTAGCTGAGAGGTTGGGCAGTACACATATTTCAAGGATGTTTGTGAGGGTCTTGTCCACATTTCTGGCTTCTGAAATTTGAAACTAGCAACTCTGTCTTCTTGGCTACCTTTTTCCTTCTGGAGGGGAACTTTTGAGGAAGATGCTCATATCCACCCTCCTATGTGTGCCTCTCAACAGCTGGTATACACAGACATGTTTTTTGCATAGACATAAGTAGTTGCTGTGATGTACCATCAAGACACTAGCAACTTATAGCTTCCTTACGAATAACCTTTAAAATGTATTGGTATGAAAATCCCTGCCCAGGTCTTGCAAATTAATGGCCATGGCTTCCTTTATTGAGTTAGTCTGTTCATTTTAGATTTTCCTTTTCTCCCCTACAGCCTTCCACTTCTCCTTCAATTATTGTCTTTTCCAGTGAGTCTTGCCTTCTCATGACAAGTCCTAAGTGCAGTAGGCTCAGCTTAGTTGCCTTAGATTCTAGTAAGAATTGAGGTTTGACTTGATCTAGAACCCACTTGTGGTGCTGGAGGAGACTCTTGAGAGTCCCCTGGACTGCAAATAGAACAAACCTATCCATTTTGAAGGAAATCAAGCCTGAGTGCTCACTGGAAGGACAGATCCTGAAGCTGAGGCTCCAGTACTTTGGCCATCTCATGAGAAGAGAAGACTCCCTGGAAAAGACCCTGATGCTGTTTGTTTTCCTACACAAAGTAGGGGTAGAAATAAAGAATTTCTTGCACAAACCAGGGCCGATGAGGATAGGTTATATTCCATCTGCCTCCCACCCTTATCTTTTAGACATGAATCTTCCTGAGAATATTGTAGGGCATCATTGTTTTTTCATTCTCTGCCTCATCAACATAGGGTGCCATATGCACCACTCTCTGATGATAGTTAGATTGACAAGGCTACTGAATGAGATCTGTTGTAATTCCAAAATATAAAGTTGAAGAATCACATGTTTAAAAGCTGCACTCTGAATTCCCCTGTGGTTGGGATTTGTGATTTTCAATTCATACTGTGCTTGTTAGCCAGAGTGCTTGCAGCTGGGGTGATCAGCATTGTTGCTAGCCTTGTGCTTACTTTTGGAAGAAAAATATGAGATGAGGAACAAGATTCCTGAGGAGAACAGTGTGGTCCTGGCAATCACAGTGGCTACCAAGTCCAGATAGAATTTGTGGGTCCCTATAAAAATGGACACCTATATACATATGTATACTATAGATATACTACTTGGGGGGACAAATGGCATGTAACCCATGGATGTCCCGCAAAGGACTTCTAACATGGTTATCTGTGGCTATGATATATGATATGTTCCCTTTGTTTTTGGCTTTTCAGAAGTGAACATCCTCTTGCACAACTGTATTGCCACTCAATCATGGAACATCACCATTTTGACCAGTGTTTGATGATCCTGAACACCCCGGTAAATGTTGGCTTCGCTGTTTGTGCATTGGAAAGAAATCTTGCCTGGTTCACTTCTATTTTTAGTTTTGGATGCATTCCCAGCATTATACATTCTTAAATGTTTTTATATTCCTTTTTGGGACAAGCAGGCAAAGATGGCCATTCTAAGAGCTAGCAAGCTTTTTTGAATGCCACTTGATGAGCTTGGGGAACACTGATAATATAATTGCCAAGGCCTTTTGCCTTGGACCTGAAACGGGGATGGGAAAGGATCCTTTGTTTTTAAAACCTGTAATTAATCTTTCTGTGGAGCCAGAAGTACTGTTCATATCATAGGACCAAGTGCTGATGGTCATTGCGTAGAAGCAATACATACCTACTGCATATTGTTTTCTCTTTCTCTGAGAGTCTTCATAGTTCCACAAAACCTTTAATGTTGGAAGTGAAGTTTTTCCACCCCTGCTTTGGAGAAAGGGGAAAAATTATATAGCAATTTCTTGGCAGCAGAGCTCATTAGCAGAGGCAGAGGCACAACCTGTTGGGGGTTGGGAGGAGGACAGTGCAAACAAGAGCAGGAAATGTTGGCAATCTGTCTGCTGCCATTTTGTGTCCTCCCAAATTCCTTGCTCTTTTAGAGCTTCCAATGCAATGGGCAATTGTGTCAAAAAATGATGGGATAGCCAGAAAAACAATTGGTGAGAATACTGGTGTGGATTTTTTGGGGATTGTGTGTGTGAGAGAGAGATAAAAATCTTATAACTGTGGCTGAAATTCTGTTGTTTAGTGTAGTATGTTGTACTAGTGTATGCCCATTGAATCAGTGAGGATTTGGACAGTCATCTCCTCCATGGGTTCCATTGATTCAAATGGGCCTCCTCTAGTTGTGACTTGAGTTGCAGCTAGAATAGACCTATTTGATTCAATGGAAACGTAAGAGTTGACTCATCAGTCCCCAGTGATTCAGTGAACCGACACTAGTTTAATATGTAAACCACCCAGAGTAGTAGCCAGATGGATGGTATAGAAGTCAAATGACTGACTGGATGGATGGATGGATGGAACAAGCTCTTTGCAGAGCCAAATGACTGAGCCTCTAGCATTTTCTTTTCACTGTTTAATACATTTTGCATTTTTGTTACTGCATTAGAAGTAGTTTTTATATTCAAAGTCAATCCAATAATTCTCATTTTTACCAGTAGCTGTGAGGCTGGTTGGCTTAGTGCTTTTGCCAATCTCTTCCTCTGAACTGGAATACTCACAAAACATAACACCTTAGCATTATATTGTCTATAACAAGACACTTCCAAATCAGTGAAATATATTTGTGATCATTCCTTTTCCCCTCCCACTGATGTTTCTTTTTTGTGTGTATATGTGAAGGGAAACCAGATTCTCAGTGGTCTTTCTATTGAAGAATACAAGGCAGCCTTGAAAATTATCAAACAAGCTATTCTTGCAACAGATCTTGCACTCTACATTAAGTAAGTTACTGCTATATTATTGTAAATAGGTGCATTTGTTGAAAATGTCATAGTTCAGCTGTGAAGCTTTTTTCTTTATTTTTTAATCTTCCTTTTCAGTGTACACTTGTACAGTGCGTTGAGTGTCACATTAATAAATATTCCTTTATTATGTTTGAAGGAGGCGAGGAGAGTTTTTTGACCTTCTCAGAAAGAAGCAGTTCAACTTAGATGACCCTTATCACAAGGAGCTATTTTTGTAAGTCAGTAATAAAAGTGCATGTATATGTTGAAAACGTGGTCCTTCTGCCATATGATATTGGCTTCTTCAACCGTTCAGTTCATATTTTGTAGTGTTAGCCTAAGTCAGTAATCACAGGGCCTTGGTTTAACTGAATTGGTTGGTTACGCTGTAAAAGAACAGATATAACTTGGCTGGTGAATGTAGTTGAACAACTGGCTACAGGCGGTTACATAAGTCTTTGCGTTGTTTCCCAAGGCAAGGTGTAGAAAGCTTGACAAAGTACTGTATTGTTCCTTAGCTGAAGGTACATTGTCCCGAGCCACTGAACCATTAAAGTCAGGACTGCTAAGTTTCTGGCCGGTTATTTATTCTTCATGAGATTGGTTAGGCTAAGATGACAGCAGTTCTGCCTGCATGGCATGAGTGCTGAAGCCTCAACAGTGAAGCACAGCCTTTTCCTTTGGCACAGCCTGTTATAGGAGGAAAAGACGTAACTAAACACTGGTGCAAAATTGAATGAAATTTGCAATGACTAATGTTGCTGCACACAGCACAAGCCAGGATGAGACTTTAAAATGGCACCAATGTACCCTTTTAAAAGCCATGTTAAGGTTTCTGTTCTGGCTAGCTGGTGCTGGGATGCTTCTTGGCAACTGACAACACCAGGGTTATGGTAGCAGAGTCCCTGCCTCTCAACAAGTGGCAGAATGGAGCTGCCCTCTTCAGGCTAAGCAGTCTTGCTGGTCAGGTGGTGCTTGGAGGCTTTCTGGTTAATTCAGCATTAGCCACCCTGCATCGTACTTCTTGCCTGGGAGGGGCAGCTCCAGACGCTTCATGGTTGCCACGTGTTGAGCTGGCAAGGACTATGTTGCCCCAACCCCTGCATCATCGGTATCCAAGAAGCCTCCCAGCACTTTGGCAGGGTGGTGGCTGGTCCTCGTCCTGCTTTAATGCATTAAAAAAGGAGGTGTGTTTCCAGCAATTTCACACCTGCTTGCAGATAACCCACAGTAAGAAGTTTAACTGCATAGATTTAGCTTCCAAACAATGAAACTCCATGATTCCTTAAAACTTCCATGTTCTTACTGGAATAAATGCAGGCCAAAATCCTGTTTCTTAGCATAGTAAATGGTGCTAGAGTAGGCCTGTTGAATTAATGGAAATGTGATAAGTCAAGTCCTCTATAAGTTCAGTTGATTCAAATGGGCCTACTCTAAGTGTGACTTGCTTTAGCATAGTAAGTCTTAGTTAGAGAGCTGTGCAAATACAGAGCTTCTGAGAGAAAAAAAATCTGGGAATACCATTTTCAGGATAACATGAGGATTTATAGAGGTGGGCAACTTGAGAGTTTTTTTAAAAAGCTCAAAATAATCAAATAGAACTGCTCAGTCACCAAAGCATGCAGAGTGTCTGCTGAGGAAAAGAGGATATAAAACAAGAATATGGGAAATGGAACAGTGAATCTTCAAAGAGTTTATGGCTATGTTTTAACCCAACCCACCTAGTTGGGTTAAAACGCAGAAAGAGCCACCATACACTGCAGTGTTTTATTTCTTAGAATCATAGAATAATTGAGTTGTAAGAAGCCTATAAGGCCATTGAGTCTGACCCTCTGTTCGATGCAGGAATCCAAATCAAAGTGGATCTGACAGATGGTTATCCAATTTTCTCGAATGCCTCCAGAGTTGGCACAATCATCACCTCCAGAGGCAGTCTTATATTTATCGTATTTCGCTACATTTATTGTATATCCAATCCTTTCTCCAGTGACGTCTCTGAAAAATCCACCTCTTACTAGTGAATATTAATCAGTTGCAACCATTTATGTTACAGATCCTTTTTCATGTTGTCTTATTTGGTTTTTTAACTGATATGGAATACCATGGCCATTATTATTTTGCATTCAAGCTGGAATTACATCTATAATACAGATATTTAATACATGGTTACATGATTTTCAACAGGGCAATGCTAATGACTGCTTGTGATTTGTCAGCAATAACAAAACCATGGCCGGTTCAGCAGCGGGTAGGTGTGCACTAACTATCTATGTTTTCCTTCAAAGAGAGAGGATCTCTCACTTTCTGTGGACACTTTTTTCCTGATAAACCTCCAGCCGTGTAACAAGTTGCATTTTGCATGTATTTTTTTTAGGGAGCTGGAAGCACTTAGTTTTTGCAAAGGCCAGATGCGTTTGGAGTTTACGCTGATTGGCAGCTTGCAGAATTAGTTCTTATAAAAGAAGTGGGCAAGTTCTTGAGGGCTATTATTATTTTTTTGCCCCACAACTCCCTCAGCCCTCCATGTGAAAAAGGAACCTCTGAATGTCACCTCTGGATTCGAAACAGCAGCAAAATCCAGTTCTCATTTTGAAAAATATATGAACAGGAAGTAACTGGGAGGTCATTTTTGTCTTTCTTCTTTAAAAAAAAAACACATCTGGTTTTGAAAACTACAACAGATTTTATTTCTGCTAATATAAGCCAGAGGCATGCCTTGTTTTTTGAGGTTTACTGCACCCCCTGGAGGTGCAGTTCTGCTGTTTGGAAAAAGAAATTGGAAAAAAAAGTGGATTAGCTGGTTCGTTTATGCTCTGGGTACTTCACGAGTATAAAAACAGAGTGAGGGTCTGTGTGCATCCCACAAGGGCATACCCCTCCCCCTCTTTTGAGTCTATAAAGCATAAAGAAAGTCACAACTTGATTTTGTTCTGTGAAAACAATTTGCTCTTGACCCATTGCATTCTTTCATCAGCATGGATAATCAAGGCACATTTGGGAGGTCTGAATACAGTGCCAGAGGAAAAGATGTTCTGAGCCCAGTCATCGCTTCAGTAAATGGAGTACTGTTTTCCCTCTTACCTGGTGCAGCTTTCTACTCCTTAGGGGACAGAGTGAATTGTACTATTATCAAGTGCACTTGTCATGGGCAACACTTTTCATGGTTATTCCAGATAAATGCTTTGTGTTAAATCATGTTTAAAACCTGTGTAGTTCTGGTTTTCATGATGTAAGATGCTATACCAAGGTGAAACAGCTATAAAATTATTTGGCAATATAGTGCTTGAACCAGAAATATCAATTTCCAGTTGCTGGAACCAATGGGCTTCTTTCTAGAGGAGAAAAAAGCTAGGTAAAATCTGGCAAGTGAATATATCAACTGTTATAAAAGTTTATGGGTTGAGCAAAAAACATGGAAAGAATCCTTGGAAAACCAACAAGTTCCAAAAATCATATACGGTTTCATCTCTTTGATTTGAGTTACTTTTAATTAACTTTTAATGCAAATTACTTTTAATCCTGGTTACTGTTCTTTGGTGGCCATTTTTCATCTGATGACTACTGATTGCATACATTTGTATTTTTAAAACATTGTTATAAAATAGTTATTAAATGAACTAGCAGAATAGCTTAGATTAACTTTTGAAACTTCTTTTCAAAAATATACAGATAGCTGAGCTTGTTGCTGCAGAATTCTTTGACCAAGGAGACAAAGAACGAAAAGAACTCAACATAGAGCCAACTGTAAGTAGAGCAAACATGTCCTCTATATATTTGTTGTAGGGCATGTTTTCCCATGTGTAGGAGCCTCCTCCTCTATCTTCCGTAAAATGAAATGTTGTTCAAGGTTTTTAACTTGTTGTTTCTCACAACAATATGAAAATGTTCTTCTTCCTGTGTGAGAAACCATATCCTTTTCAGATGTTACAAATGCCTGCGTTGTGAACATGCTGAGAGAGAGCACTAGTCCCCACCACCTCTACTGGCACATTCTTTATAGTTTTAGCACCAGGCTTGGAGAGGAAAGGTTACATTTCGTGTGTAATTGATACACCCAAGCATGAACCCAGATTTTCCTGGAATTATGTTTGTGGGTAGGCCCTACACATAAGCAGGAACCTCTCTTCTTCACTTCTCCCTAGCAATATCAAGATGTCAGCAAGGGGCTAATGGTCCCTCTGTAATTGTGCTGATGAATTTGGATCACAGAATGATTGTCAGGCTCATGTTTTAAGGAGATGTATTCCATTTTTAGCCATGTCCATTTGATCTGTTCTCTGGATTTCAAAAGGTTCGCTTTTGTGACCTATAATAATCACTAACTTCCAAGGTTTTCTTTGCAGTATTAGTCTGAAACAGATGTTTTATCTTCACAATAACTTTGTGAGAATTTGAAACACCCATTTAATGGAAGGAAGAACCAAAGTTGATAGTAAATTGCTTGCTTTAAGATGGACTTGGGTTTAGCTGAGATATGAACCCAGGACCACTTCTCCTAGGCCATTCTGACCAAAGACTGGGGCTATAATAGATGCTGTGTTAGAATGTACCACTGATATAAGTCGTTGAACTTGGCCACATTGTGGCACATGCATAATTCATCTTGATGATTTTCAGGATCTAATGAACCGAGAGAAGAAAAACAAAATCCCTAGCATGCAAGTTGGATTCATTGATGCCATCTGTCTGCAGCTTTATGAGGTACCATGCATGAAATGGCCAATATGACAAAAGAGTTTGCATCTGTATTATGTACAACTACTAAACTGAAAATTGTACACACTGTTAAAAAGCACTGGTAAACAAAGGGGGGAGATGGAACTACCTGTATTAACTGAGGGAGCAAAGCTGAGACTCCAGTTCATAAGTGTACTTGAACAACCTCCAGAGATCCAGGGGTCACACACATCCATAGCTTGATGTTTTGGGCAGGCCCCTCAATTTTTATCTTACAGAAATTGGAGGAGCATAGTGGGAAAGCATCCTGTCAGCCTCTAGTGGCCAAATATATTCAAAAACAAACAAACATTTGAAGGGTATGAGGCCTAGGGGTGCCATGGTAGCCTCAAAACATGATAAAATTAATCTTTCGTCCAATAGAAGGCATGACAGAATCTTTGGAGCAATTTTTAAAAAAAAATCCGTAAATTTTTCGGGATGCCAGGGGGCACATTCGAATCCATGAGAGCCATATGCAGCCCACAAAATACCCGTTGCCTACCTTTATTGGGCAATGGGCCATCTGTGCCCTCCAGATGTTGAGCTGTCCTAGCCAGCGCAGCCAACAGTGAGAGATGATGGGAGTTACTTTCCAGCAAGATTTGGCTAGCCCCATGTTGCCCGCCCTGCCCTAATAGCATATTAGAAAGAACTCTCATTAATTTCAGAGGAACAATCTGAGAGCAAGTGGTTTTAGTATCTTGCAAAAGGTTCAGATAGCAAAATTAAATTTTAAAAAGGGTCTCTGGAATGTTTGTTTGTGTTTCCTATTGCATGTGAATTGGTCCATCACTACAGTTCAGCTTGAAGTCCATAGAGCTGCGTTTTGTCAGAAGAACTGTGCATTCAGTGAATAGAAGACGTAATGTTCTTTTAATTGCTGTGGATATTGTCTTGAAACGTAGCTCATCTGTAGGAGTGAGATAGGAGACAAGTGCTTGAGTAGATATAAAGGGGACTTTAAGGGGCAGAGATAGATTGAGAGAGAAAGAAGGAGTTGGGGGAGAAAGATTGATGCAGAGACAGACAGAAGGAACAGAAGATGGGAGTCTTAGAAGATTGAGCCAGAACCAAAGAGAGCTGAAATCAGATGTGTGGGGTGAAAGGGGGAAATGTTCCCTCTAGAAGATTGTATTTCCTGAATTATGCTTTCTTTGTATAGTTGTAAATATTAAGAGGATTCTACAATTCACTAGCACTGTTTAACATTATCCTCTCACTCACTCACTCTCTCTCTCACACACACACAGACACACATTTCTCAGATGTCCAGAGATATGGCATGCATGAAGCTGTATTACAAATTGTTCATTATTATTTCCCAGTAATGTGACATCTGTCATAACTTTTGGAACTTTTGAATTTTTTCCCTGCACCATTCACAATATATTGGTGCACAGCCTGATGAAGACTAGTATAAGTCGAAAGCTAGCATTTTTGAAAATTACTTCTTAGTGGTCTCATACAGGTATTACCTACGCTTGCATTTATATAATAAGAATTCAATGCAGATATTTTTCAGTGAACTTGTTTTTGTGTCTTCAGTAACATTCGTGCTAGTCAGCAATGTTAAAAAGTGTCTTCTAAGTTTTATATTGATTTCCTGCTTTTGTTAGTCATTTGAAGCATGTCAGCTACCCAAACAAAATAAATATATCCAAATATCTTTTTTTTACTGTTAGTTATCTGGGGCCTGTTTTTACTTATCAAAGATGACTTGCTGCTTACAAGTTTGATTNNACTACTACTACTACTACTACTACTACTACTACTACTACTACTACTGATGATGATGATGATGATGATGATGATGATGATGATGATGATGATGATGATGATGATGATGATGATGATGATGCAGCATTTGTTAGGCAAACTATTTCCATCTCCTGATATTTAAAATATGAACACACTTTCTGTGGCTTAAATCTCCACCCAACTGATGGAATAATGATGACCTAACTCTAAAATAAAGACCACAGGTACACTTCAGCCCTCATCTAGAGCCATAAGAGGTTTTCTGGGTCTGCCCTTCAGCCATACTGGCTGTGGGAGTCTCATACCTATAATTCAAAATGGAAACTTTACCAAACTCTGATAACTAGGCTATTCAGGTTCCAAAACTTTTTGTTGATCTTTATTGGTCTGAATTTGCTTACCATTTGCAGGCATTGACACATGTATCAGAAGCCTGCTACCCTTTGTTGGAAGGCTGCAGAAAGAACAGACAGAAATGGCAAGCTCTGGCTGAGCAGCAGGAAAGCAACCTGATCAACGGAGAGAGTAACCAGCCCAAGCGGAACTGAAATAGCACTTCACTAAGAAATATGATGGTTTACAGAGGATATTTATATATAGTAATTTGGGGATATTTAATGTTTTGCTAGACACTGTATGAAATAGGTGTATAATTTGCCACTGCTGTATTTTAAATAACCAGAGACATATATTTTTGCACAGTTGTTGGAACTGCAACTTGAGTGTTTTTATGTGTATGATGTATCATAGTTGTATATTTCCAATATTTCAGTTATATAAGGGAAAGCAGATCTGCATTTGGCAGATCCGGTTTGTTCTGCACGGCTTTGTATGATGGTACAAAAGAGGAAAGAATTCCTAGGACTGCTTTGGAAGCCTCTTGGTTTTGAGTTGTACATAGTTGTTTTATTTTCAGTCAATGGCCAGTACCTTAAAGATTACCATATTTGGCACTTTTTAAAATTCTTTTATATTGTGTGGCTTTGTAAGTGTAAATTATGAAAGAGCAATGTTGCCTTTGGAAACATGAAAACACCGAGAAGCATAGAAGTCAGTGTTCACTACATGGGACGACTAATATCTCCGAAGAAAGCCTGTATTTTTTAGGACAAGCATACGGAGCATCAGAGAGAGATGAAGGTACAGATGGAAAGACATTCAGATTAACTAGTTTTCAGAATGCATTCATATAGTTTGTAATATGTAAGACAACTAGTGAAAGTGTGCACATATTTTTTTTTTCATTTCTTGTCATTGGGAACTTACTGCAAGTTGCAGGCTACCCCCTCAGTTTTGAATTGTATGTAAATAAATGCACACAACAAATTAATATGTATCTTTGAAAAATGTTCACAAGTGTGCTTTAGTCAATAAGAAATATATATTAAAAATGCACATACTGTATTAAGAAAAATGCAGAAAAAGTGCATCAATTAGGAAGAGTGCCTACCAAAATCCATGCAAATGTCTATGCAGTGTGAAGCTTTATAGAGTCTTACAACCCAGAACAAAACAAGGAGAGGGAGAGTATACTAGTGAGATTCAGAGAAACCCAACAAAATTTAACCATAGAGGTTTTCACATTTTGTCCAGAACAGTATCTTAAGGCATCTGCTTTCTCTGTGGTTTTTCCTGTCACGACAGTGCTTCAACTAAATGAACTTAAGCTGTTTATTACTCTGCAAGCCAGAGCTACTATGGGGGCTCAGTAGATGGAACTGCCTAAATTCTCTTAACAACGGTGGAAACCTTTTGAAGAATATGATAAAACAAAATAGTTTACAACTGTAGGTAACTGAGATGGAATGTCTCAGATTAAAAAGTTGAAAGAGACTGGGAGTAGAGACAGAGGGGTCGTTGCTGGGAAGGAACAACTGATGTTCGGCAGGCAAGATTCATGTCTTCTTGCCTAAGGAAACAGAGGAATTGAGAAGCATATGAGGCCGGTGGTGACGTAAGCAAGTAAAGAAAGCCAGGGTTATTTAAGAACATGAGAATTGCTCTGTTTGTCATAAAATGAAATCAAATTAAAGAGATCAGAGTCAAGAAATTGCCAATAGTCTTTAAAAACAACTGCTCATAATTGCAGCGAGTTTTTACAAGTGAATGTTAGAAAAAAGAACATTTGTTTTTTTGTTTTTTTAATGATACCATTTGATTTGGAACAATCCTAACCACAAAGTCTTAAAAGTACGGAGCACAAATGGAAACAGCTGAGAGTCACTTCAGGGAGCCACAAGTTAAAAAGATGCTTTCAAATAAGTTAGAGGACATTAGTTCAAGAAAGTAACATAGACAAAACAAATCCTAAAATATCATCTTAGGTCCTGCAACCAATCATAGAACCATGTCAGAAACAAGGTCTTGATTGATGTGATTTATTTGCAGAGACAACTTTGGCTGTACACAGATGTCTAAAGATATGAATTTCCCATGTGTAGTACTTTTTAAGGGCATGTTGGCAGTGGCATTAAGCACGTCTGTCAAATATTTTGCATTAATTTTTGCTCAGCATTGGAAAATATTGGATCTTTTTTGGAATTTCTGAGAGGAGGGCATGTTAGTCTGTCTAAAAAAAAAAACAAGGAATCCTGTGGTACCTTAAATGCTTAATCGGCTTTATTTGGCTTAAGGTTTTGTGGGGTATAGTCCTCTAAAGCCTATGCCAGGTAGAACATGTTGAATCTTTGAGGTGCCAGAAAAGTCCTTGTTGTCTGTATATGTGTATTTCTTATGAATTTGAATTGGGAGTTCCTATTCAAGTTCTCAAATTAGGAGCAGATCTTGATTCCAAACAACCTACAGTTTGCTCACTGGGCACAGCCTCTTAGCAGTGTCCTCTTAGCTTTCAGTGTAGAGGAGTAGGGGTGGAGGAACCAGGAACTTGGACAATTCAGTTTCTGTAAGAGGGTTTTCTTAATCTAGAGTTGGGCACGTTATAGCTATTGAGATGTTGTTGGACTGCAACTCCCATTGCTTCTCCTCAGCTGGCTACGGCTAATGGGAGATACAGTTCAGCTACATCTCCAAAGAAACAAGTTTAACATCCCTCTTAATCATTGTATAATGCTAAGAGGAAGAACAGACTCTTTGGTTTAGGAGAAGATCCTCAAATTTTCCAGATAATCAGTGGCTAATTGTACATCCATAGCAGGGAGTATCACGCTAGTATCACTGACCTGTGTTATATGGCTGCAGTTTGAAAAAGCAGTCAGAAAACCACTCCATCTGTCCCATTAAGTGTAAAGGAACCCTTGGCCTCAGAACAGAGGCCTCCATATGTTATGAAAAGACCAGACGATTAATTAGCTGGTTATCTCGGAGCAGCTGCTCTTCAACTATGTTGGAAGTTGTCGCTTTTTGACATGGGGCTTGTATGTATGTTCTTGCAGCTGCAGAAAAGTATTTACGCTGACTGATAGGCATGGGCTTTTAGGAATTCATGGACTACAGCCCCAAAACGTCTGCAGGAATTCCCTTGGCCAGATTTCTGGGGACTTTAATGAAGAAGTTAAAGTCCTGGCAGGTGTTTCCAGGTTCTTAAGCTAATGAATTCAGATTCCAGCAACCATTTTCATCCTATGAAGAAGACAGGGGGAATGGGTGAGTGGTAATTACAAGGGGTTATGGGTCTGGTGCAGAATGCCTATTAGGCATTCCTGCATCCTATGCAGAATGCCTAATAGGCAGAGACTACTGTACCAATAATCCCTTGCAACTCACACAGAGCTTTCATCTCCACAGAATGAATATAACTGCCAGAGTCTGAGTTCATTTACTGTAAGAACTTTAAAACATATTTCTTTCTAAGGGCCACTCTACTTACTCAAGAAAAAGTTTCACCTGATCCTGACCTTTTCTGAACTATGCTGCTTCACTCCAGGATGCTTTGTGCAGTTTTAGAATAGAAAGCTACCATGTTCAACATGCTCTGTGATGGTACCTTTCCAGGTGTTAATCATTTTATTTTACACAGGAAAGCTTTTCATATTGTCAGTCCTTGAAGAGACACATTTGCACAAAGGATTGCATTGTATGATTTCAGCATATTTGAATTCTCTATAAGGGGTTCAAATATTCCATCAAAGTGCAAGGACAAAAAAAAAATTAAGTCAAGATCTAAGGATCTCAAGAGGCAAGCAAGACAGAGGTACCTCATTTGTTCAGAGTTCGTTCAGATATCAAGACTAGTCCATTGAGATCTTGACCACTATCAGTACTTTTAACTCACTTTGGATAGAGCTAAATACATAAAATTCAACATCCTGTCCCCAAGGCTGGAATTTTTTTAGCCACCATCCTCTTTTGGAGATTGCTCTGTGTCTGGAGTTTAGAACATTTGGAATGATAAAAATGCACAAAGGATCTTCAATGGTGAGAGCTCCAGATACCTCAGATGAATGTGATATGTTTTGTCGTAGTTCAGGTGAAGAAGAATATCAGAGATGTGGAGAGATCACCAAGATGACAAGAGTTTTTCCAGTTAAGCTGTCTTTATGTGGTTTAGCAAATGGAATGAAAGAAACCTATGGGGTTTAGGGGGAACAAAAATAATGTTAAAATATTTTGTCATAATGATTTGTCTCACACACTCAAAGGTTTATAAGCAAAACCATATAATCGTCAAATATTATTGGGGGATATCCTTCATCTAAGGGTGAATCACCTAATCATGTTATCCTCTTGATAGCAGTTTTATAATAATCTGACCTTGCTTTGTTTGGCTTTTAATTCATACAAGCATCCATTAGTATAGAGCCATGATCACCAACAGAATGGGCTTGTAATAGTTAGTATTTTGAATCTGTCATTATTAAAGACCATGTCACACATGACCTCTCAAAGCTTTATTGGGTTGGTTAACTTTAGGTGTCTAGAGACAAATTATATCAATCTGAATTAATTTTTTACAGGTTAAAATTGCAGTTTGGCTATGTACAGTTTTGTATAGTAAAAGAAGAACAAAACAGTGGAGTAGATCCAGGCTACTGACAAAAATACTCTGTTTGCAGTAGGTTTATCTACCTGGATTTGGCAGACATAGTCTGGTCAAAGTGGACTTCCTCTGTCATCTCACCCAAGTTGCCACAACAGCCCCCTTAATTTCCACTTAACAAGAGTTAAGTGGCCCCTGCTGAAAAGGTATAAATATTGTGTACAGAAGGTAGTTGCATTTCCACCACTCCAGTAATATATACCTAAACCTGAAATACAATTTCAGTATCTGTGGTCCAGACTTGGATGCCTCTCACATTAACAGGTGGATTCAAGTAAGTAAAATTGTTGGAACATGAATTGATTGCAACCTGTCAAAACCATGAGTTTGTCTCATAGAAACCCTCCTTTCAGCTTTGTCTTCCAAAATCATTGAACAGTTACTATATTTTCCATTTGTACATGGGCATATAATTACAAAGAACAATAAGAAACCACAGGGTTGCCCTTTAATCACTGCTTGTTTGTTACTGTTTGTACTGCAGATGATAAATCAATACAATCTCATCAGTCCCCAGTGCCCTGGGGCACTCAGAAGCTAAATAGGCCGCCCAATGCTGCTGATAGTTCAGTGAGGAGAAAAAGGTGACAGCCAAATGGCAATGGCATTTCCTCACAGTGAGGCATTCTGATCCTACCCTATGTCTCCCTTTGACTGAGTACAGTTCAGAAGGACATATGTCAGGAAATGTACTTACGTTGCTGGTTAGTTGATCTGGAATGCATACTCTTCTCTGAGATGCGTACCTCTCTTAAGATGGGTGCCTCTCTTAACTTACAGTAAAAGTTATTTAATGGGGTAGTCAAACTCTTAGCACTACAGACATTTTTGCAAAAGAATATATATATATAGCCACTTGTTATGCTTTATTCCTGAAAGCATAAGTACACAGATGAATGATTGTGTATGTGATGATACATTCGTGTAATCAGATTTGAAATATTGAAGTGAGTATTTTTCATACCTTCGGTTGCTGTCCCAGGGAACATTCCCAAAATGTTAATATCAAGGAGTAAAAAAGATTACTAATTAACAAAGTTAGTCATAACCTTACAACCACTAACATGGTTTATGATCAACACCACTGCTTAAATTTTGTTCTGAAAAGTGGTGATACCTCTAACTTATTTTCCTCATTTTCTGTTTCAAAGCACTTAGAATTTTTAGGGTAACAAAATTGAATGATTCTGTGTAAGAATATTAGTACCACGGAAGACAGTTTATTTGTGAAACAGGTGATATACACAACACAGTTTTTGGAAATTTGGAGTAAACCCCTAGCCATGTTTCGGCTGAAGGAAGTATCATTGAGATTGGTTTTAGTTACTTCTAAACAAATGCTCATGGCATTAGCATGTGCATATTAGTTGTTCTCCAGTTCTTAAATTTAATTCAGATTATGAAATTGAGGGGTGAGGTAGTTTAATTAGCCATCAGTATTTTTTTTTAAAAAAAGCTTTACAACACTATGTGTTGGTGATATTTCTCTCCATTGAATTACAAAGCAGCAAAAAATATGCACTTGAACATAGTATATGTGTGCATGTTTAAAGTATAATTTTTAAAGGACTGAGTAGTATATGTGTGCATGTTTAAAGTATAATCTTTAAAGGACTGAGCTCCTATTCAATACATGGGTTAATTACTATTTAGTTGATTTTGTTGTTGTTGACTGAAGAAAGAGGGGACCAGATCATATCTATAGGGACCAGGGATAACTAATGTCCCTTGAACATCTGGATTTCATTTAGATAGGCAGCATGACATGTACCATCACTGAAATATATGGTGTGTTATATGTTAATAAATATACTGTTTAATGATCTAGGTGAATTTCAGAGGAAAACTTGATTTTCAAAAATGGAGATAGCAATTAGAATTTGAGTGTTAACCCACCAAACAGTGGTGAACCGCAGAATAATGGGTATTCAAAGAAAACCCACCTTGAGTTGTAGTACTCACATGGTTGGTTCATATGTATATAAAATGCCTTGATTTCCTATCAGTTAACTCATTGACATTTGATAATGCATAACCAAATGTGTGAATTGCTTCCAATGAAATGTTGCAGCGATAAGCCAATTTGTCAAGCAGCTTTTTCACATACACAACTCCTATTTTAACACATCAGCCATTTACAAATGAAAATGCACATGCGGAGTGGATCATAAAATACAAGTCATGAGTCATACCTTTTCCAGTGTATGTCTTAAGCACACTAGGCCTTATAACATTGAAGGGTGTCATCAGAGAATCAGCATTTAGATTCTAGGTAAAATGTCATCTGTTGGGTACAAAATACAGTGAAAAGTTTTTCAGAAAAAGGTATTTGTTACAGATTGTATTTACGTAAGCACCAAGGCTTCTAAATACCTGTTACTAAGCAGTTCAGACTGAACACAATTAGCTTTCATTTAATAATACATATTTTATAACTACCCATTTCTATGTGAGGTGTTACAAAACCCATCAAACCCAACAAGGGCAAAATATAGCCTCCTAGATCAGAGATTAGAAACATGTTCCCTTTAGATATTGTTGACTGCTACCATCCTTCACAATGGTCAGTGTTGGTTAGGCTTGATGAGAGTTGGAACCTCACAGTATCTAAAGGCCAAGATATTCTCCACTCCTGCCATAGGGAAAATAAATTTCCCTATGTAGTTCTGTTTGGTGTATGCATATTGATACAAATTCTGAGGCAAATTATAGACCTCAGTAAAATTTACGTACTTGGCTTTCTGGTACAGTCAGTCAATCCTGTTGAATCCCATATTGTAATAGTGTAACTGAAGTTGAAATTTTATATCTCTGTAAATAAACAGAATATGGTTCTGTATATGTCTCTTAAGAATGTAGTAAACACACAGTACATGATTTTGAGATACTTTGCTTTCATACGGTATAAATCTTTTAATACATGGTCACTTACCACTTAGTGTGTTGATAATTTTCTGTCTTTTTAAAAACATTTGAACAAATATATATATATAGTTTCTGAGCACTGTATTTTTGTACTAGACCAAGTCATTATGTATTTTGTGTTCTCTTTCAAAGGCATTTTTAACTTTGAGAGATTTTTTGGTTCTCTGTAATTCTTAAACCACAAGCACTCTTTATTTAAACTGGTTAACAAGTATATCCTTCCCTCCCTCCTCCAAAATGTATATTAAACTGTCTGGGAAAGAAAATATGCAGCTAAATCATTTTTGTCTTAATTGGAGGCTTGGTTGATGTATTTTTCTCTTTCCTTATTTGTACCATTTCCCATGCTTTCTACAATAAATGCAAGAAGAGAGATGTTTCATTGTTTTCTCTTTATCAGTGGAAGTCTTTGTGGAAGCCCAGGCACTGGTCATAACAAATTCCTCTAATGATATATGGATGTTATAATGCAGGACCTATTTAAAAGCTGCTTTGCCCTGGAGAATTCAAACTGCTTGGATGCAAGCGTTTAGATAACAAGTAGAGTGAGTTCTTTGGAGGCAGAGAGAGAGGAAGAACATTTTCAAAGTTTTCAAAGACCAGACATTTTGGAGAACCAATGTTTGTGTGACTGAATATTTAACTGTATTGGTTACAGTGACAGTCTGTGTTACTTCTGGAACAGTTTTTGTCATTATTAGGACAACATTTCAAATGCTGACCATTTTGGAGAACCAATGTTTGTGTGACTGAATATTTAACTGTATTGATTACAGTGACAGTCTGTGTTACTTAGTTCTGCAACAGTTTTTGTCATTATTAGGACAACATTTCTTAGCAAATACTGACAACTAGAGGGCACTAAAGCTACACCTCCCAGCACATAGCACATTGATTAGCTCCACAAGATTTCAGTCTACCTAAAATACAGAACAAACATCCTACACATTGGCAAAGCCAATTATTAACAAACAAACACATTTTATAAAAGAGCTCCACAAGATTTCAGTCTACCTAAAATACAGAACGAACATCCTACACATTGGCAAACAAACAAACACATTTTATAAAACAAAAGATCAAGAATCTTGTTCAGTTATGCAAGTAGGAAGGGCAATCGTACAGGCAGTGCTATCAGCCATGCCCTGGTTGCGCAACCAGACATTCAACCAGGAACACAGCAGAACGACACCAAATTATGGAAAATGCTTGCATAGTTGCCCTCCACATGCAGTGAAACTGAACAAGATTTTCGACAAAATAAATCGGCATAAAAGCACTGTAAAAAAATGAGGCAAATTCAAGTTGCAGTTACCAGTGAAACTGAACAAGATTTTCGACAAAATCGGCATAAAAGCATTGTAAAAAAATGAGGCAAATTCAAGTCGCAGTTACTAAGCAACAATAGAAACCAGGGTGAAAGCAGAAATCCAATATTGGAGCCCTGACCCCCATGCTGCACTTTATTTGGGTATATAGTTATGTCCCAAACACACATGCACACACATTCCCAATCAAGCTGAGAGAAGAGAATGTTGCATGGATGGAGCAGAAATTGGCTGTGAATGCAGCTGAAACCAGTGTATTCAGTAGCTTCAATCTCCCCAGGGCATGCTGCACTTTATTTGGGTATATAGTTATGTCCCCCCCCCCA